GTAATATTTATTTCAGAAGGAGAGAAAGGTAGAGAGCGGTGGGAGAGATGCATAGCAATGTGGTTTCGATTGACTTTTTTAAAGCTTCTTGTACAAAGTTATATGAATAAGCTTGTCGTAGAAGAGGGTAGGCCTACCCTCAAAATAGCATTGTATATCGTTACCATTCTTTTGGAAAGAGAAAATATATTTAATCATTACATGCACATAAAATAACATTGGCATTTTTCATTGTCATTTTGTTTTAATCATTGTCGATTTCAACTCTTATACGATTTGTTATTGTATGTATACCCTGCGTTGATCATTATGCAAGTATATACATGACAGGTAACTCATCGAATTGTCAATTGAGATGTTTTTATCATTATAATTTCAAAGAGTTCGTGAAATGTTTTGTCAGTCTTAAAGGTACTGTGTCTCATTTGCAGGCCAAAAAAATTAAAAGGTTAAATTCCAACGGCATTTGAAAGATAATACTAATTTAGAACTTCCCTAAAAAAGGTGGGGCTTGAAAATGTCTTCAAGTGTAAAAATAACGACTATTAGTTGTCAAATCGACTTAGGAGCTATAGAGCCAATAAATAATAGTCTTGATTTTCAGACCATTGTACTGAATGGTCATACGATTTATGCTGCGCAAAGATTCAATCAGTTTAATTTTGGCCATCACAAGAATTTGGTTATTGGTGTAGACAAATACTCATGTACCCTTTACATCTCATTTTATGTATGTATTACCAAAGAAGAAGAAAAACCAGTCAGTCACTCAATAGTGTCTGACAGTGAAGTCTAGCAAGTAAACGGGTTTCCTTGCATAATTTGAATATTAGGACACTGCTAACGTTTAAATTTCACAGATAGAACATACATGATATATTCATAATTCCTGCAAAGTTCTACAGAATTTGAGATTGGCTGCAAAAGGGACATAGTACCTTTAAGGCTCTTTCAGATATGTCGCGGTAAACCCGTGGCGGTAAACCGCCGCATAGAACCCGCCATTTTTTTTCCACGTGTAAATGAATGGCGGCGGCGCGCAACAGAGGTCCTATACGCGATGAGCTCTGTGTTATACAGAAATGTAACATAAAATTACCACCGTGGTTCAATTCAATTTTAATTCAATCAAGGTTTATTAAAGACATGAATGGCAGTCATAGTCTTAATTGTTCATGCTTTTCACAGTGCAGGCAATACAATGCAAGTATAAAATAACAACATGAGATCAAGAAAAAAGGAAATAAATATAATGTGTACAAGCAGTAATTTAAAATGTGATAGGTAGTAAAATATATACGGAATTTAAAATGACTGATTGATATTGCCCCACTGTTAAAAATAACATAATATTGCACAGCTATTAAGGCGATTATATTGGATTCGCATAGTGAAAGTTTAAAATACGTGTGAGATTGGAAAGAGCACTGTTCTGGAATCGCTTAGTTTTACAAGAAAATCCTTGATACTTATTGACGCTTCGTATTGTGGCGGTAACCATGATTTGCACAATAAATTCGTTTCTAATGCAATAGCCAGATCTTTGGTGAGTTTTTCTCTTCGAGTCACAAGAGTTGGCAATTTCAGTCTTTCAAGAGCATTGTCATATGAAGTATTATTTGATCCTAATGTATGCCCCTTCGTGTCTAAACGGAGCTTAACAACATTGTATGCAATATTTCTACTGGAATGGAAGGAAATTAGCTACAGTGTGTACTTAAGGATGTCGTGCCGATATAAAGCAAAACTGCTGAGCTTTTACTAAAGCATTTTTACTTGTAATGCATCGCCTCTAAACCTGTATCGATTGTATTACTCCAAACGCTAAGGCAACAATCATAACTAACTAAGAAATGACTTGAAAGAAATATGTGTTTAATACAACTTGACGATTATTTTTATTAAACAAAACCATTACCGTGCAGAAAATATAGGAATTGAAAATGTTGTATTCAATTTTTAGCTAAGCAATATCTGATTTCGATGTTTCATTTCAGATTTCGAAAGACGTTTACAAAGCAAATCGACAAATAGGGCAGCGGAGAGGGCTATGTGAATCACATTGTAAATACCCCCACCCCCCCCCCCCCTCTCCCCGAAGAAAATAAGCCATCAACTGTTACAGCTGTCAAGGTGGTTTGTTCAGATCTTTCATCAATTCCGACGTTTTCTGTCACTTTATAAAAGAATGAGATTGCACAATTAATCATAATAAATTAAGATAATAAAAAATATGTATAGTTCAATATCAATAACTTGTCCATCGCATTGTTTGTTTGATTAAAATATTTGAGAGAGGATCTGAAATGGAGAGTATATTCGCATAGCTATCAAACAAACCTGTTTACTGCTATGCATTATGCAATATGGAAAGACAAAGTTGATTTCGTTAAATCGAAATAGAAATTGAAGTTGAAAATAGAAAATGGGAAATCTTGTTTTTTTTTGCTAAACGTACTTTCTTAATACACCATGGGTTCAGGAGTAGTTATCCACACTTTTATAGGACTCATAATTATTAGGGATCGCTTTGATTTTGAGTGGAAATCCATGCTCAAAATTATAACGGAATCGACACTCAAAAGAGTAAACCAATCCACTATTTGGAGTGGATTTCATTATCATTTTTGGAGTGGATTCAACTATCAAACTAATTGAGCTCTAATATGACTCCTTTACGAGTGGATATCCTGTACACTATTATCAGCACATGACCATCAATATCGAAGTCATTATAACAGGCCCCTTCGTCAAATATCATGAGAAACATAATTTCACAGTTATTCGTAATAAAGAATGCCACCCATTTAATCACTGACACTTAAACCTTGCAAGATACATGTAGCTTGGTTTCAATCGGCTGGTTACGTTGTATACTAACACAAATCAGCGATTTTATCATTTGTAAATTTCTTGGAACATTTACTTTTTCAACTTTTGTCCAACAAAAAACGAATCAGGCTTTGTGAGGTCTTTCAGCCTCTCCCCATTCCTCGTATCAAAATACTATTTATAAATGATTGATCATACACGTCATATATTTTACACCAATCAATACATGGATGTGTTAGAGTGAAGATAAGTTTGGATGTTATAAATGGTACCTGCCATAATTAGCACCGAAATAAAGGTATGACGAGAGTTGTGTACATTAATTTATAATTATGTGTCATGTATAGGCTACTGCTGCACAACTCATATCATTTTACTATTTTAAGGGGAAAATATACATTTTGTATGTCATGAAAGACACAATATTTGTATTTTTAGGCAATAATAAAACTTGGTCACCTATAGTGTCGATGTAGGCCTACGTGCTATTTCCCATCTCATGTAATAAAAGGCAGGTGCGGATCTATGGGGCGAGCGCCCCCCCCCCCCCCCTGACCAAAAAACTTTCTTTTTTTTTAAAGACGGGGAAAAAAAAAAAAAAAAAGAAGAATTGAGTTGGGAACCGGGGTAAAAGGTAATAGATTTTTGAAAAATTATTGCATTTTCTTTTTTTTTCTTTTTATTTATTAAAACTGCCCCCTGCCCTAGCCCCCGCTGCGTACAGTCATGGTTTGGTGACAAAGCAATGGCCTCGTAACTGTCAGGCCCCAGGATCAAAACCGTGTCGATGTGCTATGTTAGTGCCCTTTCGTGGGGCATTAATCCTCATTACTGTCATTTATGACTTAAGGGCGTAGGTCCCCTAGTTGATAAGCATAGTAGCATACACATGCTTTAGCAGTCACGCAAAACACACATTGGCAAATTATTATTCTATAAAATCTGAGAATGTATTATCTAGATCTATTATTTTTAAATTATTTTTAAAATAATTCCATCAATTGGGGAAAAACAAAAATATTCCAACTATATGAGCGACAGTGTATATTGATTAAAGGTTTTATTAAACGGGCCCTGTACATAATAGGCCTACATTGGTTTGAGAGGTTTGAAAGGTTGGAAGGTTTAACAGGTTTGTTTTTTTATCATATTAACCTATCTGCACTAGTTTGACCAGGATACATTTTATTGAACCTCTCTGCCTGGTCACTGGCAGGTGGTTACCTCATCAAATCAGCTCTCAATTAACATAAGAAAAGGGGGACCATATAGGACCACTGAACGGTCACCACTTATATAGGTATTGTTTGCTATATAGAGGGCGCAAGTAGCTATGCAGTGGCGCATGGCAGAAATACAGATACATGGTACAAAGATCTTTACAACTAAGACGGTAATCAAAAGAATATCTTAAAAAGGAAAGGTTCTTTGGCACCAAACAAGTACACATATTGAAGGGCAAGATTTCAACAACTACAACAAGAGTTATAAACTCTTTATTAATTGCCACTGCTAACAAAAGCACGTGAAGCTGCTAGCTACGCTACAAATATATACCAACAAATATATAAAAACTAATATATAAATATATTCATGTGCCATGTAGACCACAAGGATCTAATCACTCTAATGCTTAATTTGAGAGAGAACAGAAGGCTATTATAGACTATCCGAACTTCGACGTAATTATGATTTTACAAAATTTATTAGATTTTGATTTATTAATGAATAACTAATGAAATTCGATAATGTTAGGTATAATGTAATACATTTGTGTTAACGTACTGCTATATGAATTTTATCAAAGGATGTATGGACATAATACGAGAACAATACTTCACTGTACTAATAGAGATTACATAAGAAACACATGAATAGGCAAATAACGCAGCTACATGTACGCAGATCGCACTATGGAAACGTGTAAACGATTGTAATTGACTAGTCTGTTTCAAGACCAATAAAGAAATACATAGAAGATGACTACATGAGTAATCTTCTAAACTTCTATTTTGGGTTACTAAGAAATATATTTATGATATTAAACACTAGAAACGAATTGTATTGATTATCATAATATTTTTAAATAGAAATATGAGTACTAGCTGGATCAGATTTCTTTGCAATACGCACATGTTTAAGGCCAGCTCTAGCTAATCCTAATTGGCCATACACAAAATAAACTCAACAAGAAGAAGAAGAAAGCTTCTTTTGTACCTCGGAGTAAAATCGCCATCATCAATTAACGAACAACCAGGTCCATACCGTTAAAAGGATCAATGAACTAGAAGAAGAAGTGCTCTGGATATAAGCAGGTATTGAACTATCTAATTGACGCTTCTTTTTTAACCTTCATTTCATTGACATTGTAGATCTAGAATTAGGAGCTCGCGGGGCTGGGAGCGGATAGCATACGAAGAGCGGCACTAGAGGTCGGGGGCGTGGTCAAGTCAAAATATACGTCACACTTCATGCATATTCATTATACAGCGCGCGCGATACAAACTCGAACACGAACGGTATGTAACAGCTGATTTATATTTTGCTCATCCCTAGCTTGATGTTGAGGATAGATGTCCAAAATACTTTGTTTAATCATAAAAGAGAAATTTTAATATGAATTTTAGTGCAGCCATTGATCAATCGGTTCAGTGACCATTACTTACAATGCAGGTTTTTAACAACAACAAGAATCTTTTTTTTTTCTTTTCTTTTTAGAATTAAAGAAAAAATACAAATTCTAATAAAACAGATGGTTATGTATCCTTTGATGTCCCTACTGAGGTCCAGTATATTTACGTTTGCTCCTTTATTACTCAGCATGCATAACAATAACTGGACACAAATAGTGTCCAGTATTATGTGATTAAGTGATGTGGGGACATTTTTGTATCATCTATGAAAATATGTTTAAGTGGTACATTTGACATGTTCAGGATATAAATCTATGAGCTTCAGCGACCTGAATTCCTTTTGATGCTGTAGCACTGGAAAGGCAAAGTCAACCTCAGCCCTTAACCAAAACCAAAAAATGAGTTTGTATGTATTCAAGTTTCCATCGAATAACATATAATATTCAAATCCATGAACAAGTTATAGTTACTATAAAAACAAAACAAACTTTACAAAGACATGAGGAGTATAACCTTGAAATCACATCAACACATATGTATAATACTCATGCTGGTTTCTATATGGGCAAAAAAGGAATCATCTTTAACAGTGCTCAATGAAACTATGAAGGGTTTCGTTCAATTAAAAAAAAAAAAAATCATATTTATTTGCTCTGACATATTTCCCTTTGCTTTTTACAACTTCATAGTCAGGCCCTAGTAACTGATTACTTTCACTATGACATGAATTGTTGAAATGAACAGATAACCAATAGGTTATCTGTTCATTTCAACAATTCATGTCATAGTGAAAGTAATCAGTTACTAGGGCCTGACTATGAAGTTGTAAAAAGCAAAGGGAAATATGTCAGAGCAAATAAATATGATTTTTTTTTTTTTTTAATTGAACGAAACCCTTCATAGTTTCATTGAGCACTGTTAAAGATGATTCCTTTTTTGCCCATATAGAAACCAGCATGAGTATTATACATATGTGTTGATGTGATTTCAAGGTTATACTCCTCATGTCTTTGTAAAGTTTGTTTTGACTGACAACCGACAAGTATTCAACTCGTGCTTATTATCGATGTAGTCAACACATTGGCTCTAATGAATGCATCAGTAAGTGTTTCAGTATCTCATATATTTTATATGCATTTCTTAGTTGTTGTTTTTTTAAATAAAAAAAATAATGATAGTCAAATTGGTAATTACGTGTTGTAATTTGAGGTTTAAGAGTTTAGACAAATATATATAAAAAATATCACTGAAAACAAAATAGATATAAATATAAATATAAATATATATTAAGAAATATATAGCTCATAAATTAATTTTACCATGAGCTATTGAAAAGCCCAAATACGTCGTCAGAAAGATGATACTGTCATTCTTTCTGCTCTCAATTATATTTTAACCCAACCCTGCACGCAAGATGGTGAATAATTGTGTGGTTTTTGTTTTGTTTTGTTTTGGGTTGTAATATTTTGTATGGCCAGCCATAAGAATTTGGGGGGGGGGGGGGAGCTAACATAATAAAGGGAAAATAGATTACTTATTTTTTATTATTGTTGTGAAATACTTGATATTGGATACTTGATATTTTATATTGTCAGACTGGGCATATTATGTTTGATACTAAAGTCATTTGCTGAAAAAGTTAAATTTGTACAATCCAATACTGTATGTGGTATCACAGACAGGGGCGGCGATTTCTTTTCATGACCGGGGGGGGGGGGACGAAATGTAAGAGACGGGGGAGCAGTGGCGTATATATTGAACAAAAACGGGGGGGGGGGGGAATCCGCATCCCCACTCTAACATTGTACATGCAGGCCTCGCGGAACGTTTTTCATAGAGGGGGAGGCTAAAGTATTTTATTAGGTAGAGCAAATGGAGCATATAACAAGTAGAGCGTAAAGTGGCGTGTGGTCCAGGGGCGTAGGCCCATGAAGCTCAGGGGTTTTAGGCATTTAATAACGGTCAGATGAGCATCCAGGGGCTCGTCTTAGAGCCCCTGGTGGGGTCCAGGGGCGTAGGCCCATGAAGCTCAGGGGTTTTAGGCATTTAATAACGGTCAGATGAGCAAACAGGGGCCAGCCATAGGACCCTTGGTGGGGTCCAGGGGGCAGAGCCCCCAGAAGCTCAGGGAAAAACCATACCATTTCAGCAACATTTGTAAATCACTGGTATCGAGTTAGAAATAAATCAAGTTTGAATTTTATTAGGGGGCAACTGCCCCCCAAGCCCCCCCCCCCTCCTCATCATTATGCCAAGGCGAGAAGGCAAAGTGAACGAGAGGGGTAGAGGTTACGGAAGTGACTATCCCCTCACAGGTTTTTGAAGTTTTGTTGTATTAACAAATTACATACTTTAATTAGCAAAAGAATAGTATAAAAACAAGCAATATACCTTTTTCACACTTCACTTTTCTAGAATATTTACTGTACACTTTAGAGAATATTATGCGAGGGAGCGTAGCTCCGGAGCGAGAAGATTTTTGCATTTTTATTTGTCTAAACGCTGCACTCTAGGGCCCTCCAGAGCCTAAAAGTTTGTTGCAGTCTTTAGTCAGTATTTGATATACACTTTTTTTCTCACTTTTTCAATTTTTCAGGGAGGGACGATCCCCCCCCCCTAAAAAAAATGAGGGGGGGGGGGGGGGGACGTGTCCCCCCGTCCCCCGGGATCGCCGCCCCTGATCACAGGGTTTGTAGCATATATATATATATTTTTTCTGATCCAATCTTTGAAAGAAAACAAACTTTTAATTAAAAACTAGTTCTGTGGTAAAGCATTCTATTTTTTATCAGGTCACAGTTTTTTTTCTTCCAGTGTAAATTTGAGTTGATGGAGAAGTTTGTTAACAAAATCTTTGTTAAGTACATAAAAATAACGTTCATCGGTTCAGTCTAGAAACTCCATACATAATCTATGCGATACATTACCATTTTATAATGTGAACTTAATGGCAATATAATAACACTCAACCAAGCAGAATATTTGTTTGATCTTTATTTTTTAGGTTGTTGAAATTGATTTACATGTAAATGTTTATGTAGTTGAATGTTTAAAATGAGCAAAAATTAAGTGGGAACAAAACTTTAAAACATGATCTTATCAAGTTTTATGAAATGAATGGTTAGAACGCAGTTTTTTAGAAGATACTACAGTAAATTATACACAGCAGGTTATAGGAGCAGAACGAGAGGTCAGGTCTGTCATATAAAGAACACATTAATAAAGGAGCAGAACTAGAGGTCGTATGAGCGGCACTAGCGGTCGGGTCTGTCATAATTATAAAGAACACAAATAAAGGAGCAGAACTAGAGGTCGTATGAGCGGCACTAGCGGTCGGGTCTGTGATATAAAGAACACATTAATAAAGGTGCAGAACTAGAGGTCGTATGAGCGGCACTAGCGGTCGGGTCTGTGATTATAAAGAACATATTAATAAAGGGGCAGAACTAGAGGTCGTATGAGCGGCACTAGCGGCGGTCGGGTCTGTGATATAAAGAACACATTAATAAAGGAGCGGAACTTGAGGTGATTCTTTAGATCTTCTACAGGTGCCCTTTTCATTTCTTAATTTCCAACTTTCTTCATATTTACTAGTATAGAGTTGTTTATTTTTAAAACATGTAAATCCGATTAATATGTTAAAAAATGTCCCCACATCACAATTAATATCACCATCACATTTTACCTATCAATTTATGTTAATGTGTTTAAAATGTAAAGGCTCAAAATCTAAATATTACGAGAAAAGGAAATGAAATGCTTTGTCCATTCTCTCTTTGTTACCTTTTTTTTTACCCACTCATCCATGTAAGTTCGATTTGTTTTATGTATGATGTGAAATATACTGAAGTTTCCATTATCATTATTGTTAGTTTATTCCTTGAACTAATGTGATCGTTTCCATATTAATGTACATGTATTTGTAATTTCTCTTTATTGAACTTTGTAATCTTTGCAATATATTGAAGTTACCATTATCATCATTGTTAATTTATTCCTTAAACTAATATGTGATCGTTCCATATTGATGTACATGATTATTTGTAATTTCTCTTTATTTCTTTGAACTTTGTAATCTTTGTTTGTATCAGTCGCCGACTGTTTTAACATTGAATTTTGACACAATAAACCGAAATGAATGAATGAATGAATGAATGAATGAATCACAAGCGGAACATTATTTTACGACAAAATATGGCTAAATTTGAGAGCACCGGTAATCGTTTTCATTGTATTTGGTCGAATGAGGATCTGAGAAGTACATGCATGCCGCACTGGCATTATGACTAGCATTATGTCGCGTTTGTATTACGCGCGCGCTGTATAATGAATATGCATGAAGTGTGACGTATCCTTTGACTCGGCCACGCCCCGACCTCTAGTGCCGCTCTTCGTATGCTATCCGCTGGGAGCTCGGCACGGCTCGCGGGGCTGGAAGCTCGGCACGGCTCGCCCGGCTCGGACTCGGGCTCGATCGTTTATGGCAGCGTTTTTCAACCGCGGTGTACGCGCTCCGGCAACTGGGGTGCATGCGGCAGGACATCTCGTCTGCCTATTTTTCGGATCAGGTGCCGCAAGAAAAATTCATTAAACATCTAGATCTATTGCTATGTATTTTCATGCAGAAATAACATTTTAAAGAAAATTAAGTGTTTTTTTTTTCTCACTCCCACTCGCTCTGC